CTTCCTTGTGAGTCCCTTCATTTGGGTTCACTAGGTACATGGGGTCATATCCATCTGATGCTATAAGCAAAGGGAGCTGAAATAAAATAAAAAGTAGTCACATGATTTTTTACTTAGCAACTATTTTTTGTAACAACTGAATTGCTGGTTCCAATTGTGGCTGCTAAACAAGGATTACTTGTATTCCATCAGCTACATCAGCTGGCTGACCTAATCTGGCAAATCAATTAATGCTTAAAAAAGACCAGTGAGATAATATCTTATACTTCTGTATAAGTTTCCACCAAAAGCTCTATCACATTCAAGAAGGACACATCAAATTCCTTATGAAGTCCCCTTCACTTAGCCTTGTTAGTCTATAGTAAACCAAAAATGAGGAAATTGTTAGTTCAAACAGTTGATACAACATTCACATTGAATGGGTTCACTTTGTATAGAACAATGAATCAGTCATGGCAAATTCTAGCCCATTCAGTGTTAAATAACAGCTTTTGTAGGAATGTAGTTTGGAAAGCCCGTGCCAATTTCTAAACTTTATCTTAATCTTTAATTACTTATAAATATATAATTTTGTACTGTAAAAAACAAATAAACAAAAACAAAACAAAACAAAATAAAAACTATTATAGAAATCCATCTGGCTGAACCTCCATCAGATTCTGAACATCAAGTAGATTAGGCTATTTCCAGAGCCACTCTTTCTGGATCTTGGATTAGACTGTGAACTGGAGTATTAAATGTATCTTTACAAAATATACTAAAATTGTGTGACAGTAAAAATCATTTATGGATTTTTTTTATTTTTTAAAGAACTTAACACCTTTATATGTAAAAACATCAGTTTCAATGATCTATTGTCATTGCTTTAAAATGGGCTGCTGATTGATAATTCAGATTAATCAAATGTTTACAGCTAAAATATACATAGAAAACAATCTACATTCTTCACTCCAGATGCATTTAAAAATGTATTTATAATGTTACATTATGAGGTTGGAGGTTCGTTCTCCGAGCTTGTGTGCTGGTATCTGAATATTTCATTACCAGCGGAGTTTAGGGGATGTTATATATAATGTTACATTATAATATTTTATTTGTTTAAAGATGGTCTAGAAATTTATCATTTTCCCAGTAATTACAGTTGGTAAAATTTGTCTTTTATGGAACAGGCTTTTAGATTTGGATCCACTGTTTATAACTGTATACAATCCAGCTTTATGTGAACATTTTAAAGAGAATGATATATGATTTCAGACATTCATCTTCTGGTTTAAAGATGCTGTATATGTTCTCTTGTTCATTTACTTAGATCTGTAAAATAACATGTGAACAGTAAAGAAATAAATTTGCATCTGTACATTTTATGTAATTCTTTTTTAAACTCATTCATCTGATCTTCAGCAGAATGCAGCCTGAAATAATTTTAAGACATCAAATTACATGGACAATAAAATTCTGAAATGTCAGCATTGCCATTTTTTACATCAAATGAATAAAACTACTCAAGTGACTCAAAAACTGTAGACCATTTTATCACTGAGCAATTTCTTTCTTTTTTTTAAAGATGACTTTTGACACAAGGACATGTAATACCTTTAATAATTTATTAGACATTCTTGATATTTTGGGAAATAAACTTTGGCACTCAGAATGAATCTGAATGTATCCCACTCCAAATAGGATTTGGGAATTAGATGTTACCAAACTTTAAATCATCCTCACAGGGGATACATTTGAGGAAAGATGGAACACAAATGCAGCGAGTAAACAAATTCCCATTATTCTCAGACAACACAGCCAATAGAAGGATACTGGGAACTGTAGTCCAGCAAGGCCAAGAAAGTCCTCAATTTTTATCAACTAAGATGTTCTAATGAAATGTCCACTATAGAAATATTTGATATTTACATGTAAATCTGAACACAGATTTGTATTTCACTAATACCATTTGTACTAATTGCAATTTCAAATGCAAACCCCATCATATAATAAGATTTCTATTATCCAAACTAAATTCCTTCCATTCAGAGCAATGGGAAAGAAGAACTATGGGGACTGGGATCAATAGAATTTCATTTAGTGATGGATAATCAATCAATTTTGTCCAATTCGTTTCAGAGGATCTTCTTGTTCAATCTATTTTTCCATCTATTCTAAGTTTAGAAATATTTCATGGGATACCTTATTTTACATGTAATAAATAATGTATGATTACACAGACCTGGTGGTGCAGTGGTTAGAACGCAGTATTGCAGGCTAACTCTGCATTCCCTTTGCCAGGAGTTTGATACTAACCAGCTCAAGGCTGACTCAGCCTTCCATCCTTCCAAGGTTGGTAAAATGAGGACCAGATATTTGGGGTCAATATGCCGAGTCTGTAAACAGCTTAGAGAGGGCTGTAAAACACTATGAAGTGGTCTATAAGTCTAAGTGCTATTGCTATATTAGTATTAGTGGTTACTAATTCAATTAATTTTATATTTTGTTCTGGTTCTGTGGCTTCTGACAGGTATTTATAAATATGCATGTAGACACATGAGTAAGTGAGTAAGAATATGCAAGTTTAAAGAGAAGGAGAATATCAATGCAAATGAAATAAATAAAGTAGAATGTATGGGCATTCATTTGGAACCATTCATTTTGAGGCAACTAAATTTGTTGCACTCAGGCCAATGAAATCAGTGAAAATAGCCCACTGGGTTTAAAGCAGAGTTTCCACTCATTTCACCCCCAGCACAGAGAAATCTCCTGGTCTTCATCTTGGAATCTGTCAGGATTCAGCAACAGACCAGAAGAGATGAAATGCTGGCAGATTCAGCATTCCATGCCCCATTCCTCATTATTTTTAAGTATTACCCCCGTCCCCATAGTGCTTCTCTCCCATTGCTCTGAACGGAGGGAATTTTATTTAGATCATAGGAATCTTAAGAAGTGTTCTGATTTAGAAGAATTGCAGAAGACCAACTTACCTCAGAATCTATTACATCTACAACTTTAGCTGCCAGACTTTTAACTATTTTAAGTGATTTTTTTCAATGCATAAATAAAGATATAGAAAAGGGAAAGAAATGTTAATATTGGTGAATTAAAGTATTTTTCTAAAAGTATACATACAGGAATGCAATGCGGATAGTCAAATTTCCCATTCACACAATTAACTCTTAATGCTCCAGAATTTGGATGTAGTTTATGGCGTCTTATACATTGAAATTCAATGATATTTCCATCTGCGGAATATATTTTATCCCCATTGGCCCACTTCAGCTTTATATTGTGTTCTCTCATATCTTCTTCACTTGCTGTACAAGCATCTGCAGAAGGACACAGATCAAATGACATATAAAAAGTTTGAAGTATTCATTTGATAAAACAATTAAAGTTTAGGTTAGAAATTCTATGTTGCAGTAGGATAAAATGATTAGAGAGCTATGTAAAAGGTTTTTTCTCTTTCTTTGTCCCTCCCTTTTCCTTTTGTCTTTCAACTATTATCAGTCATGAACTAAACTGCCTAACATACACAAACCTCTTTTAAGCAAGACAATGTTACATGTGTAAAAGGAAGAAGAAAAATGTTTTAGTCCCCTTCTTCTTCCAAATTTCCTCATACTGAAGATCTCAATTAGTAGAAGACCACGTTCAGGCAACTTCTCTTAAAATGTCACCTTATATCTTCTTTTTCAACACTGACTAATCAGGGTAGATGTGATTAAGTCAAAAGAGAACAGTCT